TGAAGAATAAGTGATCTCAATAGCTGTTTGTACTATTTGTACAGTGATAAAATATGGATGTTAGACTGAAATGGATCTGAGGACACAATCGAGTCCATCTTCATGTGTGAATTAGGATCACCCCTCACGGATATTTATTTAACTTGCTCTTGAACACATGTTGAGATGTGGATTCCCTATCAATGATAATCTGCTCCATCATTTAACTGTCCTGATAGCTGGGCTGTTTTCAATTAGAATCTGCTGTAAATCCCCTTTGCTATGCTGGTAGCTCTAATTAAATCCAGCTCTAATTTATCTACATCTTTTCTAAAACATGAAGCCCCAAACTGAGAAAAGTGGTGTTGTTGGAACTTCTGGAATGAAGTTCAGAAGGCACTACTTACTTACCTTGTCTGTGTCAATGAATTCCAAAATTATACTTCACTTTGTTGCAGCAATATTGTATTTTTTTGATCATTATTCACTTTGTGATCTACTACACCTTCCTACCTGTTTTCATTATTTATTCAGTTGTCTTTTTCTCTTTTGCAGTTGTATTTTCTCTTTTAATTATTTAGCATTTGAGGAAAACTGTAATGCCTATGCTCCCCACTGCCAAAATGAAAGACAAGTTGCTGTGTTCCTGATTCAGAAGGATCCTGTTATCATTGATCAGATCTCTGAATTCATTAAAATGAATCTAAATGACTGCAAAACAGTACATATTTATAAATATAACTTATTTTTATTATTTTAATAGTAAGTTTATAAGCCACATTCTGTTCTCTGATATTAAGGGGTGAATACACTTACTGCCTTTATCCCTCCAGATCTGTACTCATTAAACTGAAAATACTGTATACGCCTTATTGCAGAGATAGTTTATCCAAAAGGAACTATGTGGGGAATACAGCTAGATTTTTTTTTCCCCTTTTTTCTCGAAACCAGACTGCTCTGTATAATGTAACACTTTATATTATCCAAAGGAAAATATTTTGGTATCAAAATCAGGTTCTGGATATGTTTTCTCCTGTTCTGAATGTGACGATCAGGGAATTCTCTTTCATTGCTCTCGTATATCAGAACCAGTTATGGCCCATATAACTGCCATTGTTCAGTAACCTGTAAATTTATTACCATAATGAAGCTTCCCGATAAACAAAGTTATTTTTATTTATTAAGTCAGCGGTTGGATCTACAGCTGAACAGAAAGGCTTATTGTGTAAAGATCTGAGGTTATATGTAACATATTTTGAAATGCTGTATATGGACAGGAGGATAGAGTCATGGTTACGGCAGTGGGCAGGAAATCACAGTTTTGAGTCTTGGCTGTGCCACAGACTTTCTGTGTGACTTTGGACAAGCCACTCTTTGTGCATTAGCTAATAATACTATCTCTATCTCCCAGGGGTGTTGTGAGAATACATTCATTAATGTTTGTAAGGCTCTTGGATACTATAGCGATGGGGCCATATAAGCACTTAGAAAAACAATCCATTTTTGCAACAATGTTCATCTCCCTGACTAAGGACTTTTTTTGCTGGAAGTTTTTCATAGATGCTTGTTATGAATAAATCTACTTTATAATGATACAGTGAGGTTAAACTGCTTTTTGGAGTGCAGTTTCACTTTAGTATTCAGAACAGGTGTAAACAGTCATAAGTTTGAAAGCTGTTCCCAAGGAAAGAGAATAGAATTTTTATAGTCAGTCATTTTAACAGAAAAGATACCTCTCCTGATTCATCTAGTTCAAAACATGGAGGATTATTTACATCTGTATCTGTCTCGCAAATAGTTTATTCTATTTTAAGCACTTCTCATTACATTGTCTAAACTACCTCCTCAGGCAAGTCATTCCATTGCCTAATTGTCTTTAAAGTTAAACAGTTTGCTTAAATGTCTACCCTATTTTTTTCCTTGTGGATAAAAGCTGCTCTTTCAGTCTGTCCTTTCTTTCTGAAATAACCTTCACTCACACGTGTTCAGTTCAGACACACAACACAGTTACAGCAGGTTAACAAGGTATTGCTTTAGAGCTGATGGGAGGTAAATTGGTAAGACACTGTAATTTGATTTGATAATTTGCCTGGCTGAGTGCAGTACAGTATTAAAATCTGAATATGGGGCTCAAAGCATTAGCACCAAGGAGAAGAAAAAAAAAAAAGTAAAATTCAATATTCCCAAGGTTTTTGTTGAGGACTTGTTGGTGACAGATTTCCAACCTAGGAGAGTAGGTGCACAAAGACTTCATAAAAAGTTTTGTTTTCTTATGGCTTGTTTTGTTTTGGTTTGTAGAAACTAGTGGCAGCAGACAAATTAGGGAAGTAAGAGATTTGGGAGAGTGTGAGCAGACCCTGAGGACACTGAAGAGTGCTCAGGAAACAAGATATCTTTTGTGCTTCCATGTTTTAATTTGGGGGCTGAATTCAACCAAATTTCTCAGAGAGACAGAAGTATCAAAGTTTCAAAATGTTTATGAAAGTAGGTGATCGTTAGAAGACAGAGACCCCATAAATATCCCAATGGTGGGAATAAATACTATGTCTTCTCCTACTGTATTAAATGTAAAGAACTGACATGGTCTTAAGAAATAGACAACTGTAGGAAATCAAAGCTTGCGGTCAATTACAAGCTGTAAACATACAGGAGAACAAGCCTCATTTGTCTTGGGATTCATGAGACTGCTTGTTTGCTGTGAAGTCCATCCCTCCACTATTGCTGTTTGAATATGTACTGAATAGGATTGCTTTTAATAAAGTTCTCATAAGAGTGATAGTGGAAATGCTTCTCAAGATGAATATTGTGTTAAGCTATGCTTAGACTTTCCTCACAATGAAGGAGAAGAGAGCTGTGTAATTTATTTTTTTTTTTCTCTCTGTGAGTACTGGAGATTGAATGGAGTTGATACTATCTTCTACACATATATAACATATGCTACTCTGGACAGAAGAACTGAAAATAAAAGACAGAAGTAAAGCACACTATTGCAGTGCTGTACAAAATTACTACAAAAGGAGCCACAAGCATCAACTCCTAATCTTTACTTGGATTCACAACCATCAGGCTGCTCCCAACCTCATGTACTATATCCTGTTTTCTGGGTTTAGCCAGACACTCAGTACAGCCAACTTTTCTTTCAGTTTTTCAGTAAATACAGGACCTGTATTAGGAGATATTTAACCAGAATTCCAAATTTTATAATATGACTTGATTCAGGATTGAATAAAAAAGTATTAATAAAGTCAAGGAGAGGAAGCTTCATTAAAAAATGTTGCTGAAACATTATTTTCTTTCAGTTCTTTTATACCATAACATGTCTTTTCAACTTTTAGTTTATTCATGCTTCTGTTTATTAGGCATTCTTTAAGTAAAATCCTTCATTACCAAAACATTTCCTGTACAAATATATTTTCATAGTAGGCTACTGCAGTGACAATAAAATCTCTACCAAAATATTCAGGAAGAAATGTAACTCAAAGGATTACTTTTATCTTCTTAAAAAATAGGAAATATTTTACATTTTGTGTCAAACTAATCCTCTTTGACACACTGTATGCATCACACAAAAATAATTGGGATTATAAAGATTAATATAGTTTGAAAAAAAAACCAGTTTAAAAACCAAAAAGATGCCTGTTTACAAAACTCAGTTCTGATAGCCATCCAATTAAAAAAGATGAGCACCACAAACACTGGAAAATTCAAATTTCTATTAAAAAATTTTTATCCTATGTTGTATCTGTCAAAAGGAAGAATATGCATCTTCAGCGGCATAGCTGGAAAAGGAAAAGAAAACAGTTAAACCAACTCAAGCTATCACTGTTGCATTACTCTGTTTTAATGACTGCCTTCTTGGGGATGTCTTTCTGTATGAGAAGCAGCAGGGGACACAATCTGGAAGGGGTAAAGCCTTTTCTCTATGGAAAAGCAAATTGCAGCTATTTCTCATAGTAGGAGGTCATTGGTCATATACTGATTCTATCTGCTTTGATAGGACCACGTTACTGATAAACACCTTTGTATCTACGGCATGTGCTTAGAAATGATGCCAGTTGCACATGTTTGCACCAACAGAATAATTTCTCCCTTGCTGATCCCTCAGGCTACACGTAATATACAATTAGATGTTATCTTGTTCATATTATTTGATGTTTCAGTTTACTACATAAAATACACACCTGCTTCTCATATCTCTTCTATATTGTTCTAAAGTGATTATGAAAAAAAAAATAATATTTTAAAACCTAATGGCTCCTAATGGAAGAAAAAAATAACCTGTTATGTGTGGGCAAAGAGAAGAAAACAATACAAAATGTGGTTGGCATTCAAAATAAATCTAAAATACCCTTTTTAACCATAACAATTATTCTAGCTAGTATACTATCTTTTGCTAGTCCCAAATTTCTTAAAGTAATTGTCATGTGTTTTGGGAGTTTGATCTGTTCTGGTTTTATAGAATTCCATTAGTTTCCTGTAAAGAAAAAGATTTTTTTTCTGGCATTGTTTCTTCACAAAGTTAAAAAAAAAAAACACCAACAAAAAGCAAACACAAAGTAAGCTGTTTGTGGATCCAACATTTGGTGGCATTAGATTTTAAGTTTTTATTTAACACAGTTTTACTATGAAGGCTAGAACTAGATAAGTGCTATGTACTATATTATATCTTCTTTATAGGGAAGACACGAAAACTTAACCTCTTTCAAAGACAGAGGAGACTCTTCTACCTTTCAGTTAATTCAGATGCAGTTGGATGTGTTTGGTTAACTCAGAGCTGAAATGATGCAAAAAACTCTTCTAAAATCACTGAAGGTCAATTTTATGAATACTGTTCTCAGCATCTTAAAGTAGTTGTTACATAGAGTAGGTTGATTGTAAGGGGAAATGCCAAAGTCTTCAATTCTAAATCTTCAGGTGTGTGGGCTGTTAGACCCCCTAATGTTGTAGTTTATTCTGTGTTCATTTCCTGTTGCATTTTCAGAAGTGATTTCAATTGAATCATTTATGGTTCTTCCATTCAGATTATAAGAGCTATTTTGGAGCGGATAACCCTCAATGGCTGTATATGAGACATTGCCCGGGGTGCTTCCAAGATGCTTTTGAGCTGGGTAAGGAAATCACTGAGTGTTGACGCATTCTCAAAGCACTATGGCATGGATTGAGAGCATATAGTTTATAAACTCTGTTACTGACCTATTATTCTGTGTATACTGGCAGAATAGACTATACCAGTTTCCTCTGAATGTTAAACAAAACCAACTGAACATTTTTTGGTTAAAAAAAAAAGAAAGAAGTATTTTAAAAAAATTAACAACAATATCTAATCTGTATGTGGTAATTCATACATAAAACCTTTAATTCATCATTACCCACTTTTGATATGTCTACTTTTACTATAGTAGCCATTCAATGTATAATATTATACTAATGTAATGTCATAATATTACCATTATATTAGTATACCGGTGAGGTAAACCATACTTAGATTTTCACTGTGACTTTAAGGTCAAAGCTGTTCTGCGGGCATGGCTTTACCAATATGCTACTTTAAGACTAAAACTTACATTCATGCGGTTATTCCTGGATCACCTCTACTATCTACATATTACCTTATACACTCTTCCTCAGTCAGAATTAGTTATCATGTCTAATCTCCCCTTTCATATATGGACACAGGCAACTAAAAGCATCTGGGCTACTGAACTTGAATCTGTGCATGAAGGACAGTATAGACATGGGGTGTTGGTGTGGGGCTTTCACTGAGTGTGTGTTAAGTGAAGAAATCAGCGAAAACTTTCTGTCTCTTGTTCAAAAGCCTGCTCATGAGTGTGATGATCAGGACAGTCCAGCACAGGGGTGATGCTAAAACCTCCCAGGAGCTGGCACAAAGGAGGGTCCATGATCCACTTCATTCCTTCTCTATTTAAGGTTAAGCAGTGTCCGGGGAGAGTGGTTATTTTGCTGTAGAGAAGGATGTTCTATCTCTTTCAATGTTTGTGTAATGCTCTTTGTAATGTTTTATCCAGCCAAAATCCTGCTGAATCAGCTACAATGTCTCCAGGATTTTCACAGAAGTTAGTTCAGGCTGTGCACTGTCACTGCCCCGTGTGCCAAGGGTACTATTTTAATATCTGGCGTTTTTGTTAAATGCCAAAATCTTAGATGCTCCATTTCATGTTTTAATTAAAGTTTTCTATTTTAAAACAATGCAAGCATGCAGATAAATGGTTCCTATTAGAACAGCATAATTTGAAACAAAACTAAAAAGGTTCTTTTCCTTTTAAAATATGCTTTTCACAAAAAGTTTTGTGAAAAGCTACTATTTCATTAACTGTTGTAAGCTATAGGCTGCCTATATATCTGGTAAATAGAAGAAATAAAATTCCCACAAAAACAGACAAGTAAATAATGAATAGGTTGTGCAGGCAAGGGAAGGTTGTCTTAATCCGCAGTTCCAGCCATTATCCCACCCTAGGTGTTCATAGATGAGCCTCCAGTGTGTTAATTCCACAGAGTTCAGTAATAAATCTCAGATTAGCTTGCAGTAATCCATTTTCATCATGCCAAATAGAATATGTCTTATACTATTTAGTATTAACTGGCCATACCTAATAAAAGCTACAGAGTGGCTAATAGTTTTTTTCTTTATTATCAGGAACTAGTGACTATATTATACATGAATGGCTTGTAAAATTACCGGTTTCTATTTTAGAATAACAAACAAGTTTGTGTTCTAAGATTTAAGATTTTAAATTTAAAAACCACTTTCTCCTTTACTTATTCAAGATTTTGAAATGAAGTCCTGAACACAGACCCAGAAGTAGTTTAATATATGAAATTCTGGGCCTCCTTTAATGTCACAGTCTGATATAGGTGTAGATCATTTGAAAACATGAGTTTTCAGGTTAAAAAAAAAGTGCCATAGTGGTAAACCCATTTTAATTTATACTTAAAATGTAATAATTGTTCATTTTGTGCATGCAACAATTTGCAATTGTTTATTTGAGGTTTTTAATAATTTCTAAAGCATCTGCACTTAACATTTGTCTGCAGAATATTTGTTTCCCCTCCACTAACCTATTAGCAACCAAAGATTACCGCTACCCTCAGTAATATCACACAACGTGCTCAAATATCACAGAGGCAGTCATTGTCTTTTCCTCATATGTTCAAACCTGTTCTAACTAACTGTGGAGGTGCCTGGTTTGTTCTGGATATGCTCCATTTTTGCTTCAGCTCCTTTTCCTACTTACTACAGTAAGAATCACTAATGGAGAGAATTAAAAGTGTCCATTTTGGCCTGGTTTCAGCTCCTGATCAATTTTTGTGATATCCAGGTTTTGAGGTGGAAAGTCAACAGTTTAATAAATGTAAAGTAAGTTCTCTGGTTGAAGTTCAAGCTATAGTCAAAGAGCTTATTGATAAAGTTGCCAGTGAGTATGAGTTTCTATAGCAGAATTCCCTCCTGTAGAACATTTTTTTATTATTATTTTCCCCCTCCACTAAGGTGAGAGGAAGCAACAACCCCTCCAAATATCTTAGCTTATTAACTTTTCCATACAACGCTGCTACCGGCCGTTCTATAAAGGTTTGCTGTGACTTGACACATAGAGTCACTGCTTATTCAGCATGGCTTTCTCCATGGGTTTCATTTTCAATTAAGAACTTACTGAATGTTACAGCATTTTAGTTCTGTGCACTTAGGCTAGACCCTCAGGAATTGATGCTGGAAACTGTGGATCATAACTAAATTCCATTAATTTCATTTGTTTAATCATCCTGGTTATAATACAAATCCTTTTTCTAAAAAGGGAGTAAACAGTTGTATTTTGAGAAGTGCTAAAATGTTCAAATGATCTTAAAATATATTGAAAGGTAAAAATATGAGGATAAGCCCTCTTAATTTCATTGTGATTGTTGTAAATAGTCCTATAATAATTAGAATATTCAAGCCTATACCTTGCCTACAAGTCTTAATTGTGAGTTTAAATAATTGTATGCTGTCTCTGAATTATCATAAACTCAGAATCACAGAATGGTTTGGCTTGGAAGAGACCTTCAAAGATCATTTAATCCAAGCCCTCTGCCATGGGCAGGGTCATCTTTCACTAGATCACATTGCTCAAAGCCCCGTCCAATCTGACTTTGAACACTTCATTATCATCTCAAGGTAATAATCTTGCAACTGGAGGTAGGTAGAAAGGCCCTTGAGACCTTGTAGACTCTCTCTTTGAGATTAGTAGTTTTCCTGGATGTAAATTGCTTCAGGTCTTTTTAGCTGAATGAAGGCATATTTTGAAAAAGAGAACAGATGAAGGCCATAAACAAATGAGAAAAAATTGGGAGTAGGAAAGGATGTGCAGATAGACACTGTAGTATTGCAAGTTCTCCCTTAAGACATGTGTCGTTCTGTCAGTTTAATACTGAGTTTCTTTTTCCCCTCAAATATAGAAAACTATTCATAGGCAGCCATAGCATATGTAATGATGTATCATAGAAATTTAATCACATCGTTTAGATGTCTCTTTCTTCAGACATTAGAATATTTCTTCCTGAACAGGCTGAGTGAAAACTTGGTACATCTCGTATAAAAAATCCTAATCCATAGTCTGGAAGGCAAGAATGAGTTTCGGCACTGCAGGTTCTTCACACAGGATATGCTGCCCTGGATCCCTCCTCATTGGCAGCTCATTCATTACAGCTCATGTGTTTTCTCATATTCGTACTGGCACTAGTTCCTTCGGATCTGTACTGGTTGCAAGCACCATCAGTGTAGGAGCTGTATTTTTTAAGGCTCTAAATTTTGTAGTCCCAGATGCGTTGGGGTTTTTCTATTTAGAAAATTCCCCAGGTCATAATGCTCTCATTGTTCTCAGTAGGGAACCTTAATTGCAGAGCTAGTTGGATAAGAGTTGGATTAGCTGGCAGAGTGTTGTCTGGGAAATCTTTCAGCTGTGCAATGTTATCACTTCCCCTACGTCCCCCCGCCCCCACCCCTGAGGATTCCTAGCCTACTGCATTTGGTGAGATACATATGTTTTCCCCAGCTACAGGAGCTGTGAAGGGTTCCTCTGGGATATCTAAGTATAAATACCTAAGTGTGTCTTCAGTTGCTAGGTTATTTTTAGTCAATGGGTGGTTACCAAGTCATCTATAATTGTGCTGTTAAATGTGTCAGAGCAGCTACTGCAAAGCTAGGTGCTCCCTCTAACAGGTTCAATGTATTAGGGAAAATGTAAGAGGACAAAACCAACATTTCAGAACTAAGCTGTTCACAGATTTAAATTATATAAGGGGAGATTGCTTGATAAGCAGCTATGTTGAAGATGATCCATGAGTACAACATGGAAGGAGGAGCATGGTAACATGCTTTGACTGTACATTCCATTGTATCTGTGATTGGCTTATTGTGTCACTTCAGATTAGTGTTTTGGGGGAATTTACCAGTGGTTCAAGGCATCAGAGTGGCCTTTCAGAATCTTTCACTTCTTCTTAGGCAGTTCCTATACAGCCTTTATCAGCAGTGGCCAAAAGCCATTACCAACCAGCGACAGCTATGTGGGAGAAAGTGCAATGAGTTCCCAATGAGCAACTGTCCACACAACTGCTGGCATAGTTCTTTCTCTAGAAATAAAAAAAGAGGAAGAAAATCATACCTGAATAGAAAGTCACTAAGATGGCAGGAAGAAGACAAGAAGAGCAAAACAGTACAACTAAAAATCCAAAAGAAAAAAAAAAAAAGACTTAAAAAGAAAAATACTTCAGAAGTTCAAAGCAGAAATGATACATGATGCACTGTAACTAGGAAATCACACATTGGTTAATCTGAAATATTTAGGCTGTGCTATCCCTCTTATGAAACTGCCACTGTGAGAAAGAACTGAAAACAGGCTTTGGTCTGTCAAAGATTGTTAAAGATATATTAACATATCACCTAATTGGGTGAGTCTAGGAAAAACAAAGTGAAACTTTTAGGTGGTCAAATGGATGTGTATTTGTGGTTCTTATGGTGGCTGAATCATGTCACTAACTAGAGACTAACATAGTTAATCTCTTTAGAGATTAATTTCTACTCCAGTGGCACTTGACCAGCATAAGCTGAGGATCT